GTGTGGAGTGATGCCATGTAGGTCAGTCTATGTGAGTCAGTCTATGTGAGTCAGTTCGTTATAAGCCTTCCACTGCATAAAAACTCATCCTATATTGGTTGATTCTTGGTTCTGCCCATACTCATTGGAGTATGTAACACCACGTCTTTTCCGTTGTCTCACCTCTCCACATCTTTTCCGTTGTCTCCCAGTCTGTTTGATCTGTAGGTCAAATGTGACTTGCAAGTACGCATCATGATGTAGTAATTTAAATGAAAAAAATGTGGTTGTGTTCGTGTACTTGTCAGTAGCAGTGCAGTAAATCTGTTGCTGGTGTATCACTGTACCTATGAGCACTGCTGAGCTACCCAGGTTGTTTTGCCACATTGCCCCCAGCTGTCTGAACACACGAGAGCAGGGTAATTGATTTTTTATATCCATTGATTCCATTCCAAGTTTCAGTTGAATTTGCTGGTGCTTTAATGTGCACTAGAAGTCCATTTGAATTGAAGCACAATGGTTTTGAGCTCCGTTCTGAATTCTAATTTTCTTATTTATGGACCGATTTTGAAATGTAATGTGAGACTCTGGACTGTAGTTGTCTGTACAGTGTATACTAATGTGGATGTGTACACTTGTGCGTCTTTTGCATCTGTGATGGCAGTACTTTGTTGAGGCTGGCGCGATTGCAGCTAGAAGAGTTAAGAAGGAAGACCTGCGACATGTTGCCAAGGCAACTGGTGCCACAGTGGTAAGACGTCAAAATGCACTTGTCGTCTCTTCGTGCATATGAGGAACCAACTCTGTGGCACACTTTCAAACGGCAACCGACAACACTTTGTTGCGAGATGAAGTGGTTCATAATCCCAGATGTTATTGTGTTATAGCATAGTTGCGGCGCCCCAGTCCGCTGTGCGGTACACGCCAGTGCGCAGTGCACAGTGCGGTGAGCCAGGTGCGCGGAAAAATCAATGAAAGTAAAAATATATATAAAAAGTTATTAAAACAACATATATACTTGCCCCCGAGAGAGACCACCAGTATATGATGTGGCGATCCTGCTCATTGAGGGCCAATGCTTCAACGAGCAGGATGGCCCCTGCAGCATTGGTCCTCAATGTGATTCTCTGGGAGCAGACCACCAAAATATACGCTGTGGGTTCGAGTTCGGGTCTGTAGCTCAGCAGTCTGTAGTTCAGCAGTTATGGGTCACCGTTTCAGCTAGACCCTGTTCGTGTCTCCACGTGATTCTCAGGGCCTCGCTCCACCACTCTCCAAATGTATAACATTAGAATGAACCTTCCGCTTAACCATGGAACCATACACCGTCATATGCTAGTGTCTTTTGTGCATGTGGTGAGTAGTGGTCGGCAACCCTGACTGGTCGGCACCTACTGGTCAGGGGTCGTCAGCACCTTGCAGAACCCCCCCCCCCCCCCCCCCAAAA